GTGTGTGTGTGTGTGTGTGTATGTATACGTACATATATGTATATATATACGTATATAGTAGAAAAGTTTTTTTATTTAGATATTATAGTTAAAAAAGAATAATCCGACATTTAGTTTTACATAAGCGCTTTCATCTTTATAGATTCTTCAGGTGCATAACTGTTTACGATGATTTCGTATACGTATATATATACATATATGTATATATTATCAGGAGATTATATACATAATGTATATTACATTTGCGTGGCTGATTCCTAGCTGGGCCTCATAGCGTAGGTGGGTTGTTTACCCGTATACGGGATGCTCGCCGTACGTGAGTTTACTTTGTATGGGGGTATATACGTACGCTCTTGTCGCGAGAAGTCACATCACATGCATCGCATCTCGTGTAGCGGAGTTATCTAGTATAGCTGCTGCGACGCAAACATATTCGTGATGATATCTAGCGCGCAGCACTCTCTAATTACTTACATAATTATTAATTGCGCCCGCAGGTGGAGGTGGAGGTGTCATTGACAGTCCCTCGAATTCGCCTCACGCGTTACACTACACCCGGAGAAGCAGCGCACGCGTTGTCATGGTAATATCCGCATCCTCGCATCTCGCGTGCGTATGCATCGCGATTGATGGCGATGATTGATTGATATAGGTTGAACCTCCAGCATCTACGATGTGTCATATTCGTGCTGTTATTATTGCTGCATGCTCTCATTAGTGTTCATCAGCCCATATACATAGAAACACAGTTGCCTCGATTGCTGTCAATGTTGTGCATGTGAATACGGGGGGGGGGGGCACGGGGAGCGTGTTGAAGCTGTGATATCTGATGATCAGATAACAGGTATCAGATATCAGATGACGATGTCTTCTGCGAGAGAAACAGAGAGATAGAGATGGGAGAGAGCCTGCTGATTCACATCTTCCTAGGTAGCTCTTCGTTAGAGGACCCCTGGTCTACTAGGACCCCTGCCCCGCGCCTCGACAGGCTGATGTTGGGAGCAGCCTGTAAAGCTAGGGAGAAGCCCAGATAAAGCTAACTTACTACGTAAACCTACGGTAAATCTACGTAAAAACTACGGTAAATCTAGGTAAAGGTACCTTAAAAACTACGGTAAACCTACGGCAAATCTACGTAAAAGCTACGGTAACCCCTACGGTAAGGCTACGTAAAAACTACGTAAAAACTACGGTAAATCTAGGTAAAGCTACCTTAAAAACTACGGTAAACCTACGGTAAATCTACGTAAAAGCTACGGTAAACCTACGGTAAAGCTACGTAAAAACTACGGTAAACCTACGGTAAATCTACGTAAAAGCTACGGTAAACCTACGGTAAAGCTACGTAAAAACTACGGTAAACCTACGGTAAATCTACGTAAAAGCTACGGTAAACCTACGGTAAAGCTACGTAAAAACTACGGTAAACCTACGGTAAATCTACGTAAAAGCTACGGTAAACCTACGGTAAAGCTACGTAAAAACTACGGTAAACCTACGGTAAATCTACGTAAAAACTACGTAAAAACTACGGT